CCATAAGAAGAAGTGAATATTCGACTCAAGCTGAATGCCCATCGAGGAGCATTTAAGCGTGCTAATGGAAAGTAAGCCTGGAATGACTTTTTGGATCCATTAACTTTATTCATATTTCGTCTCTGTTTTATTTTATGAGATTTTTTTATAAAAAGAGATCAAGAGTAGTTTTAAAGTACTGCCTTCGATCTAAACCAAGGATAGTTGAATGAATTAGTTTAGATAACAATACTACATACAGGTGATTATTATCAATTGTTAGACTGTATTATTCTTATTCAGATTTATTCTTTGCCGTACAAAATACTTCTTTGTAAAAAATGAGAAGTCAAATTTCAGGCCTAATAAAAAGTGATTTTATTGGCGATCATACGAGCCTAAGCCGATGAAGACTTTTGGTTTAAATACGAGTAAGTTTATGTTTCGAATTCAATATTTTCTCCTCTCCAAAAATTAAAATTTTTTTAGATATGAAATTTGACTTCTCTTATTGCATTATCAACATCGATGTTATAGTTAACATCGATTTGGAGTCCGAAATTGCCTAATTTGACGTAAAAGATAATATTAATATTCGATGGGTTCTTCTGAATCAAAAGATCAATTTTAAATCGACCTTATATGCAAATCTGGTAAAAATATGAAATTGGTAAATAGTAAGGCATTGATAGATAAACGGTAATATTATTTTAACCAAGTAAAAAATCTGAACTCAGAACAATGCATCGCTCACAAACTGTAAGAGATCAAATCATTTCGCTGCATTTTTCACGTTGTTTATTTACCTCCTGTTTTAAGCAGGTTTGACACATGCATGTAAGTGAATTTACGTAAGCGCGTAATGCAGCGTTAGTGACAAAAAAGGATATGAACGCATAAGACATAGATCCGGTTACGTTTCATGTAAAACTACGAGTGTCAGTACGTATAAGCCATGTTTACCATTATACGTGAATGTATTTGCGCTATCCGTGAATGCATGTCTTGAGTTTGTTCCAGCAACAGGAGCAAAATAAGTTTTAGCGTGGCGTAATGCATGCTGTTTTAGCTAGGCCCATTTCAAGACTTTAATAAACGTGTCTGCGTCTGTGTATCTCATCTCATTCATATGTGTGTGAATGTCTGTTTGTGTATGTTCACAACGTATATGCATATGTGTATGTAAGTGTATGCATATGTTACGTGTGTGTTTGTCTGTATGTGTGTAAATAAATGGCAGTTGAAGAGACAAGGGAAGAATAAGAAGCAATGGTCTGCTTCGTGCAAAACTGTGTAATGTAGTGGTTGACGATGATTGGGTGTTACTTGAGTGATTCAAACCTGAGCAGATTGATCTTTGCGAAAGAACTGCAACTGACCTGAAATCGATCAAGTCAAGGAGTGTAAGTCGATCAGATCAAGGAGGTCTTTGTAGTTCGTTTCTTATTTCGCTTTAATTTGATGATCGTCATTCAGCTTAGCCACATTTTTGTTGTCATCAGTCGATAATTTGGTCGTTGATCCATTTGTTAGCACATCAGAATGGAACTAGAAAATGCTGCAGATTTAGTTGCTTCAACGTTGATGACTGCAACTTCAGAAGAGTGCCTCCAAGTTTGTACGTCTTTATTATATCGTAAATTATTTTCAGTAAAATGTACGTTTGTTTATCAAACAATGCATTTTATCAAAGAGATAACTGTGGATTTTCACGGGTAACTGACTCGTCACTCTTACAGTGCGTACTGTTTTGTCTCTTAGTCATCTGAATCACTTAAGCGAGTGTTCCATTTCACAGATTTTTTCTTTAACTTCAGTTGCTTTACTGCCGTTATCTTCCGAAAGTTTGCAACCTTCTGAACTTAGTAGCACTTTTTCACTAGAAAATTTATTAGTGAATGTTCATAAATAGTAATTTAATTTAAAGTAAACAGAGATGATTAGCTTCCGATAAAAGTGCTATTGATTGATTGCTTAGCAGCGTCAGTCAAGCTACGCAGGTTGATAATCTATTAATAACATTAATAAATTAAGAAAAAATTAGGCATCTTGTTGTTATACTCTCTTATTTCAGTAAATAATAATAATACGAGTTTATGCAAGTATTTTACTTCCTTCATATGTGATCAATTTGATAGGTTTTTTTCGAGAGTAATGTGCCGCAAGAATTGCCGCAGAAGGAAAGAGTCAGGAAATTTGCTTGCGTTTTCTCACAATTGCTTTTTGTCCTGAAATTGTTGCCTTTGTGGCGCATTTGTCAGCTAACATTGTTAAATTTGCTTAATTTTTTTTGCATAATTTGCTAAAGGTCCATCCGAGAATTTCAGTATATGTCGTAAGGGGATGTATTTATGGGAGAAAATGTTTGTTTTAATTTCTGCAGGCAATATAATTAGTGAGTTCAGAGAAAGATTTTTACTTCATACTAAGGCATTTATTCATCGTAGTGGTTGAATCTATGCTTGAACATTTCACCAAGAATTAATAATGCATTTGCTTTGTATTTTTTTCTTAAATATTTATTGTAATTTGTGATGCGAATGAGTATTAGTATTAGAGGAAAATATAGAAATTTGGCGACTAGAAACACTCACATTACATCTGTTAAGTGAATGGCGTTGTTGCGTGAGATGAAAGTGAAGTAAAGTGAAAAAGGTAATGTGCAATTTTTCATTTGCTGAGATTAGTTTAGAATAAGGACGAAATGTGAGGTAAAGCAAATTTTAGCGTTTTAGATCACTCTGTTCCGCTGATCCATCATTTTTCTTACTGATTCTTCAAGTATGATCTGATGTGGTGAAGTTAAATCTCCTTCTCCTACTTCTCTTCTCCTTCTTTTAGCAATATTTTCTCACTGTCTCCAACTTTCCAGTGATCACTTACTACCTCCATTCTCTTACAACCTCTCTATTTTTATAATTATTATTATTTTTTAATTATTATCATTATTATTATTATTAATACTAACTGGTATTATTTTTTGTGATTATCACTTAATATCACTGCTAACTACTACTGTACATCCTAAAATTATAAAACTTCTAAAAATACTGAATTGCACACACACTGAGTTTTTCCTTTTTGTAATTTTAATAATAAATACTTTTATTTATTTAATTATTTGTACATTGTTATTTGACTTTATCTTGTTTACTCTTTGAAATGTCATGTAAATATGAAATTTATTCAAAAATTCATTTTTATCCATAGCCATCAAATATTTCATTTCATTTGTTATGCATATGGAGACAGGAAACTATAAAACTATATATAATTGTATGCTTTCTAGTAGCTTATTTCTATTAATATAAAATGTATGGAAGGTAAGAAAGAATTTTTTGCACGACAAAGTTATTCTTTTTCTGCTATTTGATTAATTACTTGACGCAGGCAATATTTTGGAAAACTAATTTTCCTCTTACATGTTTATTTTTAATGAAAAGAGCAATTAATATGGAATGCGATTTTTACAAAATTATGTTTGATATAGAAAAAATAGAAAACAAAAATTTACAAATTTTAATAAATTTAAGAATTTCATTCAAATTTTAGCACACGATTTACCAGCGTCATCGTCATCCCGTCTAGTGACGGCTAATAGTAGCGTGTACGCTTCACCTATGCGATCCTTGACAAGTTCATCCGGTGGATTATATATAAGTGCTCCTGGGAAGATTATCTTATTTGGTGAACATGCTGTTGTCTATGGAAGAGTTTGTTTTCATCTTTAAGCTTTCGAATTATGTGTTATTGTTGAATATTTAATGCGGTTCTTGATATTGTTTTTAATAGTCTTATACTTTCGTTTCTTTCATTATTTATTGTGAAGCTTTTAGTATCTTTACGTGTGTGACTCACTTGCATTTACGATTTAGTGATGAATAATGCATTTGTGATATTTAGGTTTAATTCTTTCGTTATCACAGTACTGATTACTTCCTAAATTTCATTTAGCAAAATTTTTCTTTCTTGTTTTAGTCAGCACTAGTTATTGAAAAGTTACTTTTATTTGATAACTGTTTGTGAAAAATTATAATGAAACTAGGCCAGAAGTCAGACATATCATATATATATGTTCCATGAAAATATTTTTATTTGAACTAAAGAAAAGACTTTCAGACAGCAGTTGCTGGTTCGATAGACTTACGCACTTATATCAGTTTATTCACTTCAGCTGATGGTAGGATATACTTGTCATTACCTGCCCTCGGTGTTGAGAAAACTTGGTTGTTAAAGGATCTTCTGAGAGCCAGTGAACGTCTTTCTGGTTCAGTTTTTCAGTTTGTCCCATAAATATTTCTGTTTTGTGATGTTTAAAAAATTATAAATTCATATTTACGCACAACACGTACCTGCATTAAAATTTGCATGGTGCTCAAAAGACTCATTCTGAGTAGACGAAACTTTGAAAATATGACAACATATCTTTCTTTTCTTTTATTATGAGGCCTCAGAATTTTCTATTATTGATCACAGAACTTTTTTGTAAGGTAGTTTTTGTTCTCTGTTGGAATATTTTATCTTCATTTTGAGAGGCTTTACTTGAAAAATGAATTAAAATATTTAAACTCTTTCCAAAAATATGACAACAGGAAAATCAAAGTAATTTTCTCTTCAGATGCTGAATTTTTATTTATTTATTTATGTGTTTTCGTTACTTTTGCCTTGCATGAATATTTTTTTCTGCTAATTTTCACGGCGAAAACATATAACTCAATTCAATAACTGAAGTGTTTTTTTCCTTCGTGATTTCATCCGAGTCTTATTCACATTGTTTTTATTGTTTATCTTACTAATTTGAATAATCTCTTGCAGAATGCAGTGTTGAGGATGGTTCACCGCCATCCCTCGAATTACTTGTGCCTATTGCTCGAAAATTGAGTGGTTCTTGCGAAGATCAGTGCGGTGTGCAACATTTAGCAATACTTGCTTTTTGGTATCTCCTCCTCGGTGTTGTGCAACGAAAAAGGCAAACTTTTGCAGATCAGTTTTTTAGCTAAATTAATTATCATTTACTTTTGTTTACATGGGAAATCGAAATGAACTGTCACCATTGGATTTGCAGAGATTACTTGTGTTCGAATGACTGAAAAATGTATGCCAATCGAAATTTATGAAACAATATAAATTGTTGATGCATCGTTTATAGATTGATATATATTTATTTCAGAAATATTCTTGCCGTGAAAGTTACTATTCGATTCAAACTCCCTTCTTGTATCGGTTTAGGGTCTTCGGGTATGATCTCGTATTTTTTCAAAGTTACATTTCAATTTTTGAACAGTTCTTTATTTAGAAAAACACCTTAATTAAGTCTTAACATTTTTGATCGATTAAATTAAGTAATAATATTGAGTTTATTTTCAGGGGCGTATTGTGTGTGCATTGCTGCAGCATTGCTACAGACTGCTGGGTTAATCCCCGCTCCATCGATTCCTGTGAGTTAATGGCTGATTGGTGTTGTTGAGAAGTTGCTTTTGAGAATTAATCAAAAAAAATTTTATAGTTTTAAAGGTCGTTTTTCTGAAGAAAAAATATTACGTACGTCTAGAACTAGTTACGTTGTAATACTTAAGCTGCAGTTTTTTATTTTTAACGGTTTACTTTATCATTTATTGAAGGTAAATGATGAAGGGTCATTGACGTGGGAAGACAAGCACCTAGACATGATCAGGAAATGGTCAGCTGCAGCTGAATCTTTGATACACGGACGAGCTTCTGGACTTGATGCAGCAGTTTGTACTTATGGTTTGAATTTCTGATTTTTCTCATATTTTTTAACTCTGCTCAATGATACCGTTTACAAAAATTTTCAGAGCACTAATTTTAAGCCTTCTCTTTGGTGAAAATTTGAAGTGGAAAATGTATTTTTGTGATAAAATTTTAATGAACTACATATCATCCTTCTATGCTTAAAGTTTTTATTTACTCATTTTGTTGAAAAGTTGTCTCGTTTTTAGGTGGAGTTGCGTGCTTCAAACCTGGAACGTGTATTCAGCATTTAAGAAAGTTGGTTCTTACTTTCATACTTTTATGAATAGCAAAACAAAACACAAAAAGCTGTATTTGTCTCTTTTGTAAATTTAGTGCTCAATAATTTTTATCTCAATATTACTCATATATATTCAATTTAGGCTTAGTAAACTTTTCAGTCTTCCCGATCTCAGGGTCATACTGGTCAATTCTCGAATAGAAAGAAACACTTCACGAATGGTTCAGACAGTGAAAGAACGCTTAAAAAAAGTAGATTTATTCAAATTCACACATTGATGATTGTTATTTATGTTGGTTTTTTTTGGCAGTGCTCTACTTTTTTCCCAAAAATGTAAAAGGAAGAAGAAAATTTTCGGGTTGATATTTAGTATTGCTGTTGTTTTATCAGAAGTTCTCTGGATTCAAAATTTACAATTCAAGTCTGTTTTTTTCAACATTTATTTGTTTCTTTGTCAGTTTCCGGATGTCGTCGAGTCAATTTTTAATGCTATCGATGCTATTTCACTTGATGCCGCCAAGATTTTACATCGACCACCAGAAGAAAATGGTGGTGATGAGACAGCTCGTAATTGCGACAATAGCAACAATTCAACGGTTGCGGGATGTGCTAACAGTGACCACCAAACTCTACAGGCAATTATTTTTGTTATTGTTAAGCTAAGATTATGCTGTCATTAGCGGCATTTTGTCATCAGTTAATTATCAAGCATTTTTGTCTCTAAAATGTAAATTATTTTTACATGTCAAACATTGATATTTATTGCTTTTTAAGCTTTGTATCTCGTTTCTAATCTATTATTTTGGAATACTAGTAGTGTCAGTAACAAAGTGGTATTAGTTGAGCAGGATTATTGTTTTTAAATCATATTCTTTCACATTTTGCACTACGTATATATCAATCTTTATTTTTTGTCTTTGTAGGGAAGAAAAAACATGATGAAATACAATTTTTTTAATGTAAGTGATCCGCATGAATATTTTTCAGCAAAATAAATGGCTTATAATTATTCTGATGGAAATTTCTAGCTGTTTTATTATAAGTTAAGCTGGACGTATGCTAAAATGTTGATCAATCGTAAGTCTGAAGAAAAAATTTATTCAGAAAGATCTTGCATATCTCTCATTCAGTAAATTAAAATAATCTGTCACTTATACTTTGTATGTATTTTGTATCTAATCCTTCATTTGTGGAATTCAAAAGTGCGAGAGATGAGCGTTCACGTTTCGATGTGATATGTTTTGTTTGTTTTTTCCTTCAGAATATTGTTCAACTAAAATTATTTTCAAAGAACAATATTGAGCTTGTATGTATAAAAACAGTGAGCAGCTCTTTGAAAACTCGAAATGATCTTTAGAATGATCATATGAAATGATCATATAATGGTTAAAGAAATATTCTATTTCTTACAAAATAGATGATTAATTTGATTGATCCTTTGCTTTTGAAAACGAAGGCTATGTTTTTTTGCCATGGCTAGGATTTGAGAGTCTTATGGAAACATTTCTACGAACTAATTTTACGTAAACTCATAATTCATTATCTTCAGCATTTTATTAAGTGAAGATTATTTTTTCTCAAAAGTCTAACAATTTCAAAATAGAAGTATATTGCTTCAAGCACGGTTGATTTACTTACTGAATGAAATATCGTACCTGCATGTTTTGTAGACGTGTTGTTTTTGCTAGCTTCAATTACTATTAATCAGCGTGACATGGTCAACTTATTCGATTCATATATTCATTCTTGAAATTGTCATACGTCAAATATACTTTGTGGTAACTGAGTAGAGGAAGACAGTTAATAATTTAATAGCAAAAGTGTACAGTTGTGTTCGGAATACATGTATAATTTGGTTAATGACAATAGAGTCAGCACTGGCTTATTTCTTTCCTAAACTTCAATGATTGCTTTATTTCAAGATTAAATTGCTGAGTTACCATCCATTGGGAACTTAATACTTGTTTGGGGAAAAGAAAAGTCTATGTTGACCAAACCTCATTACTTTGTTTTTGGTTTTTTCTTTTAAACATCTTCACACCATTCTATCTTAATCATATGTGCTGTGCTGATATGACAATGGATAGGATAACACTGTCGTTTTTTTTTCTAATTTTTTCTCGAAAATATAGTAGTTTTGTGCATTTTGCAGCCTAGTGGATATTCACCTCATCGTCAACAGCAACAATCTGGTAGTGGATTTGGTCACAGTTCATATGTTATTGGTGGGAAACGTAGTAGTAATGCTTCTACAACTAGTGGTGCTTCGGGAGCTAATTCTGAGAAGCATGAACGTGGACAGTTCGCTGATTCTTATTCTAAGCTCAATGTAAGGCGTACATTGCTAGTACAACTTTTTACAATTTCAATCTCTTCATTTTTATTCAATTTCTTTTTATTATTATTAATGAATTAATAAAGAGTTGGTTTTATTGTTTAGCCAAAAACCTTTTTTGTTTTGTAATTTTTACTATGCGTAATATAAACAAGTTCTTCAGTCCTATATAATTGACTTATTACTTTCTAACATTCTAAATTCATATTTTTGAATTCATAATTCCGCTATTTTTCACGATTCTAATCTCGATGTGCTTGCAGCTGTTTTGCATGATTGAAGGCCTGTATCTTATATTGCTATATTATGAATAAATCATTCTAATTTAGAACCAAATCTACTCTAATTAATGAACGGCTTATCATACTGATACTGGAAGAAAAACATGATAACATGTATTCACTTCTAAAACTTTAAAACATACAGTGCCAACTTACATTATAATTATTTTTGTTCTTAGATTGTGATAATAAACGGTACCTATTGCCAAATCTTTTAATATTTCAGGATTTGTGTCGTATAAACAATCAGTTGCTAATTGCTCTTGGAGTTGGCCACCCTAAAATTGATCAGATTTGTACATTACTTGCGCGATATGGAATACATCCAAAAATGACTGGTGCTGGTGGCGGTGGAAGTGTTTTTGCTTTTTTAAAGCCAGGTAAAGTGATTTTCATTTAGCATCTTATGCAGTGTAACTGGTTAGTTTTAAAAAAGATTGTATTTTTTCTTCATATTTTTTATATTGCTGAAAACTGGCCTCTTATGTGTTAATAAAATAGTATTTTAACTGATTAATTAATTATAAGTGTTGTTTTGATTAATAAGTATTGGAAGAAGTTGGATGAATATGACATGGTTGTAATGTTCAGATACATCAGCAACGGTGCTGTCGATGATTAAGGAGGAATTAAGCAAGCTTGATTATGAGTTATGGCAGCCTCCTTTGGGAGGCCCGGGAGTGATTTGCCACAGTAGCAAGCCTGATCTCTTCGTGCCTAGTACAGCTATTGCAACTCAGAGCACCACCACCAGTATTACTACTCCTAATTCATCAACCCATTCGACTCCTTCTTTCCATCGTCATAACAAAAGGTCATGAAGTAAATACTGATGACTGACTGATGATTCAGTCCAGCTTCTGGTTTCTCCACGTGACTATGATCATTCATTCTTGAATTCTATTTCATTCGATGATTCTTCTCCGTGTGAAATCTCTCTATGCTGACGTTTTCATCCATTTCTCTACATCATTGTAGAAAAAATGACCATCCATGGCCTACAGTAATTTAATTTTTACATGAATTTATTTAGTTATTATATTTCTCAAATGGATCATTTTTGATTGTAACATTCAGTTGCTGTAGAAAGGAATTAAATTTTCATAAGAAACACTAACTGCTTTTAAATAACTAACCAGTCAGCCATTTTTTTCTTCCCATTCAAAAATACCATCTGCTTTTTGTATGTTTCCAGACAGTTTGAGCTATTATTATGAAAGCAAAGAAAATAGCAGAAAATAAAATGAATATGATTTAGCTAATTATAATTTCTGCATGGATATTTAATATTTTAAAGTTGTTAAAATTTTAAATTAATTTAGTAGCTTTATATGCTTCTTGCTTTAAGTCGTGTTCAAACTATTTAAAGTTATTTTTGAAGTAATATTAACTTTGATTGGGCGAAGCCAGTTTTTGATCAGAACTTCACTGCCTCTTTTTTCATGCCATTATTACTGATTTGTTAAAAAAATGAATAGTTAAAAAAATGAATAGTAAAATTTTGCAGTCAAAAGATTATGAAAAACGGCAGGATGAATTATATATTATTGTTGTTGTTGTTATTACTGTTGCTTATGTTTCAACTTTCACCTGGCTTTCATCGCTTGATTTTAGCAACTACAGTAGTGTAAGTATCTAAAAAATTCATCCACTAGTACAGAAGTTCTCACTTTTCTAAAGTATACACGTACGGGTAATTTAATTAAATATGTAAAGTTTTTGAAAGTGGAACATTTATATGTTATTAATTTTGTTGGCAAGTGCTATAGAACTTGCAAATAACTGTGGTATATTCGCGTGCGACGGGTTTTTTAATTGGGTTTTGTTTTTGTTTATTTTTGGAATTAGATATTTTTCCTGATAAAGTCTCAATTTCCAATTTCCTTCTCATTTCTGCAGAAAAACCTGGGAAATAGTTGCAGGTGTTAGTTATGTCATATGCAAATATCATTAATAGAACTGTTACAGGGATCAAATGACAACATTGCAAGACAATAGCCATATTCTTTTAGCTTGTTTTTGGTTGACTTCAAATCCTTCATTCTGCATAGCATATAATCTTCGGTATTGTTCTTCTTTCTTACTTATCCTACTCATTCTTGCTTGAATTTTCGTTTACTTTTGGCTTTTTTTTTCCAAAAATTTGGATGATCAGACTGTACTTGTCTTGTTTTTCATCTTATCTTCTTTAAATGAAGTCAGAGGTGAAGACTAAAGTTTTGAAAATGATATTCATAGCCTAGTCTCTGTAGAGCTCAAATAATAGTGTCACTGTATGTTCGTTTTTGCATAATTTTAATTTTTTTGGATACTTGTAATTGTGGATTTTTGTAAAACTTTTCAGGATTTTTTATGATTTTCAAAAATGGGAAAAGAAATTTTTAGTAGAAAAAAAGAACTGAGAATGATTAGAAAATTATTGACTCATACTTGAAGAATAAATTTGCTTCAATTTGAATATTGCGATGATAAATTTGAACTGCAGGAAACACCAAAAGCATGAAAAGTCTTGCATAGACTTGGGTTTGAAATATATGAAGGATCTAAATTCAGGGTTACTCTTTTCAATGTTTAATTTATTAATGAAGTTACTAAAATCTCGAAGAATAAGTTTTTTTAGTGACTTTTGTAATTATTACAATAGTGATAGAAGATGAGGGATGGCGTTGTTGAGAGGGATTATGTATGGATGAATGTAAACGAGGCGTGCAATGTTGATTGTGTAGCAATACTAGTAATTTTGATTCCATTTGTATTTTGTTTGGAGTGATATTACTTTCATGGCAGTTGTGCAGTAATTATCAAATTTCTACTCTCATCCATGTTCGTGTAAACACTTTCTGTTTGATCAAGAAAGTATAATATGCAGATTTGATTTATTGATTTTGTTAATATATTACTTACCCCATTTATTGATTGACATTTTGAATTTATTCTTGAATATGATTAAAAGAGAAATAGAAATTACTGTGAAATGTTATTAAAAGTTTTTTCTGTGTTTTTCTATGAATAAAAGTTTGTATTGAGTATGTCATTTTAAAGAAGCAGTATTCGAAGAGAAGAACTGATTACAAGGATAAGTCTGCTGTGTTTATAAGAATTAGATTTATTTATGGAGAAGGCGGTATTATGTTAGAGATTGAATTAAGTGCGCTGTGTAAGTATTTCAGAATTTGCTGCTAATCTATGAATGGATTTGTGTGATTCTGTAGAAGTCAATTATATAAGTTGCACTCTTTCAGAAAATAGTTTCGGGGATTGTATGTGAAGAAGTTTACATCGAAATATGACAAAAGGGACCAGAAATGATTGACAACTGAAATGAAGACGGAAGGATTGTGTTTGCTTTTTCATGAAGAAGTTATAAATAATACAATTGCTGATTGTGATGTATTGGTCACAATCTTAGAGATGATAATTTTCATAGTTTCTTACATTCGGTATGGAATCCAGCAAACATCATTAATCCTCTTCAACTCTCGTTTGTTTTTTTACGAAAGAATTCTATGCTCCAAAGTGAATGTTAGAAGCTATTCAACTTCATGATATAGTAAATACATTATGAGAGTTGACAAGAATTGGTCCTCAAAAATTTTACACGCAGCAATATAAAGATGTTAAGATTTTTTATTCTGAAAATTGAGTTCACAACATTTCAGAACAGTGAGGGTTTTGCATGGCTGGTAATAATTGCAATACGATGTAATCAGTTTTATATTATTATAACAATAATTTACAGTTTCTGGCCAGACAAGTTAAGATTTTCTAATTATTTTTGCCAACATTGGTAGCCATCTTTTTCAAAGTAACTTGCTTATTTTAAAGTGAATTTCATGAGTGATCTGTGTAAGTTGATTTATTGTTAGATTCAGTTTACTTTCGGATTTCGAAAATGAATGTTCGTAGAGACATTGATTGCTCCACGAAATACTGGCATCATATATTTCGACTTCAGTTCATGGATTGTTTGAGACTGCTTGACAGGATTAAATGCAGAAAATGCGTGCATAGAACATTGAATATCTACAGCAAATATAAAGTAATACAGAAAAAAATGTCAACAGATATAATTTGAGAAAAGATATTTTCATGTGTACTGAAATATCTGAAAGTTTGAAAATCTTTTAGATCTTATTGGAACAAAAAAGTACTACCTCAGTTAGACGTAAAAATAAATGTTGGCTGCAGACTAATTTTGATTTATTGAAGCATAGAGATATTAAGCAGTTGTAAAAGAGTTTTGACATCAGTTCGTGTTACCAGTTTAATTTTAGCAACGTCGTTATATTGAAGTGTGATAATGATGACTAATCTTCAGCCATGATGACATTTTGTGATCTACTCAAAACTTACTGTATGAGTGGAATAAACTGAATTTGAAGGGATTAGTAAAGTATATGTATGAGAGTAGATAACATTGTGTTATTCCTTCATGCAAAAAACTGCATGTTTAACATTATCCACTTCAACATATCGCTTTAAAGAAATATGCATGGAATTTACGTTTTATCTTTGAAATGTTCGTGACATTATGACGAATGAGCGAGTACCAATAAACTGTCAGAATTTATTTAAATAAATGCAGTCAGTTAAAATAATCAGCTGTTCACTCAAAACATAGTCTACTGCAACCATCATGCAGCAATTGATGGATGGTTTGTCAGTGTTTGATCAAGAAATTTTTAATCAGTCATTTTAGATAGGCACAATTAAATACTACTAAAAATGTGCTTTAATAATTTTCAGTGAATTTTTGATATTTTCATGTGAATTTATTTTTTTCGCTCAGATAATTTACTTAGCTGTAATTATGTTTGGGAGTTTATGGTCTAAAAATTGTTAACGAAAATTATAAATAAACTTGAGCCTCAGTTGTTTCAAAATTATCATGTTTTATTACATCAAATATTGTGCATTTTAAAAAAGCTTTTTATTCTTGTTCAAATTGAATAGTTATTATTTTATCATAATCCATTATCTTTATTTAGTATCAGTATTTTATCATTTTATTTAGCTAACAGATCAAATGAAACTCAGCAAATTCTACATTTGCTCAAGATAAGAAAGCAAGAAAAAATAAATAAGAAATAAAATCTTTGTGGCAAACAATTTTTGAACTGCAACTGAAAATAACTAATTCAATACCTTTTTGTAATGAATGAATTCAAATCTTGGTATGGTGACAGATAGTCAATTGAGATTCTCGAAATTGCACAATTCATACTAATTTCTGTGAATAACTAATCTAGAAAAAATAATCTGTAATGATTACTGATCATTTAAACAATAAGCTCGCCGTCACTTATCCATTATTATGAGGTGGAAGCATTCGTGAGGAAGTTGACCCCTCAAATCCAGGAGGTATATTGTGCACTACAGGTCTTGGCTGTTCATCATATATGGAATGCAACATTTCAGTAGTTGGAGCACCTCCTCCTGATATTTGTTCTCCGCATATTCGTGGTAATAAGCCATCCAAAAACAGTACCACAATCACCACACTCAAATAAAACCCGCCAATCTTAATTAAACACGGTCAACTCATTTTAACCACAAGTTTCTTTTTCTTTTAAAATTTTTGACACGAATTTTATGAAACTTATTCATCTTATAAGTTATTATATAGATTTGTTTTTGATTTATATATATATAAAGTCAAGGATGATAAAATAAATACATTCTTACATGCACAATCAAATATTCTTGTAAAAGCTTTCGGTCTGACGATAAAACAAAAGTACTCGAATTTAAACACTGATCAAGAAATTAACAGTCTATATAAATTGTCAAGTGATGGTGCTGTAATTAGAAATATCATCTATAATTTTTAGTAAGAAAATTTTTTCTAAATTGTTTTTTCTCAGTCAACTCTTTTTTGTAAAACACGATATGCAAAATTTCGTTACGCAAAGTATTAAAGAACTGCCTGACGGTAACTTACATACAAATACATATATTTCAATGAGACAGAATCCACAATTAGTGCACTGACATTGCTCTTATTATTAATAGAATGTGCTTCTCCTAAAAAAATAAAATCTAGACTGCGTTCGATAATTTTTCTGAAATACCGATTACAGATTCTACTGCTATCTTGCTTAGTTTATGCATTTACGTTCACTCTCATCTAGATTCAGATTCTTGCATCATTCTTACCTTCGACGCGATGATGAATTCTTGCTCCATCATTTGTTGAAACCCCTTCCCTTTGTTTAGTTAATTCTGTATCTTTTGTACTTTCCTGATGTATTGTCCTTCCCAATGTTGTTCTAGTAGACATTTGGGATGCGAAAATTGTTGAATTAGCAAGCGATGCATTCTCTGTCCTTAGTTACACGATTTCTCCCTTATATCATCATTAAGTGCATTGCAACGATTTGTCAATAACTTCCATTTGAAGTTTACTCATCAAAAAGCTTGGTAAATCATGTAAGTATGAATAAATTAGTATAATACAATGGCCATCACCCTAATGACCACCAATTCGCAAGCATTTGGAAATCTTCAGCTCTCGTAGAAAAACTTAGTTCAGTCAACTCCTACGCAACCAAGTTAATAGTATTCGCATAACTCACCTCTCCTGCACAACAGTTGAACGTGAAGTTCCAGGGTTCAAAAGAGTATTTTCAGATGTTTGCACAGTACTCATTGAGAGAACCACAAATAAGATAACTGAAATCACTCTAATTCCACACATTTTACACTCATTGGAAGTTCAACCTTTCAAGTACAATAACCTATGAAATACTAAAATGATGACCAACCGAACCCATTCTTATGAAATTCATGCTACACAAATCAATGCTCTTAGTTAAGAATAATCACAAGTAACGAAAAAGGCAAAAGCAGAAATCTGCATAACGCATAATCCCATAATGTTTGAAGTGTTATGCTACGAAAATATGCTGTAGTGTTTACTTTTTGACCAACAGAGTAAGATTTGCAGCTCAATTTAAACATTTACATTTCGATCTAAAAAATGCGAGCAGTTTATTAAAGACAATAATACCTGACACTACTACTAACAACAACAGCTTGTCTCAAGTTTGTGATAAATCGTAGCAAAAACTAAAACCAAATGATGGGAAGCTTGTTTGTGAAATGAATAAAGCTACTAATAAAGTCAGAATAAATGACAAGGCTAAAAGAATTGATTTGAATCGTCACAGAACATATGTATTATAAAACGTGAATTAAACAACAAGTCAATTAAATTATCTCGTGAAATTTATTACCCAGTGAGAGCGCTGATTTCAATATTTTACAAGAAATTAAAACGCGAACAGTTTGCACAGCATTTTTATAGAGAGATAAATATTTTAATTGCTAGCTGATCTTCACAGCACTAATAATTGTAGAATAATGAAAATATAACTACCATTTGAATTATGTAGAGTGTAATCTAAATAGTCAAATATTTTCTGATGTATTTTAAGTAATGACCTATGATAACTTTTGCTTCATTAACTTGTTGCTCTTATCTAAAATAAGTAATGATCACTGCATCGCATCTGCTTACAACCCCAGAAATTTTTAGTGAGTCGATACTTCTCCAGAATCGATACGTGTTTTCAGTGATAATAAGAATATACAAATACCAATGTAATACAGATAATGTAAATCATTAACGTGATAACCATACTAAATGTGTCTGACATCAAAAAATTGCATTTTGCAGTTGCAGAATATTAGCTTTTGAAGTAAAGAGATTGGTATTCACAAAAATGGACACCATCCAATGTACATGCGAGCAAGATTCAGTTCATCTTGAGCGATATCAATTAACCTACCAACTTGTCCTTCAATACTCATCGGTGGATTTTTAGTTTCAGCACGGTAACATTTTGGTGTTATAATATACCCTTAAAAAAATCACTTATTAAATTACAATCACAGTTTGAAAATAACGAATTTCCTTAACATACCAATTAAACGAAAACGGATCATATCGACTGCTTCTTGTGCTTGTTGCTGAGCTACTGATGGCGACAATTTAGCATCATTTCGTTTGCGCTAAAATTGATAACAAAGGTACATGTATGAATAAAAATAAGAATCAAAGATATACAAAGCACAAAAGATTTTGAAGGAGGCAAACGTATGTTAGTCTATTTGACGAAAAAGAGATTATATATTGCAAATTCCACAACTACTATAGCAACAAAAATTACTAAAAAGATATCTTTAAATTAATATCTAAAATGCAATTTCCAATATTCTCGAAGTACCTGCTTATATTGCTGAGCTCGACATTCAGAGTGCATCCACTCCAAAAGTGGATCATGAACAAATGTCTGCAAAACTGTAAGTAAAGCCTCATTGTGTTCACGTAAAACGCGCATAGTTGTTTCACATGAACGACGAAATGCTCCTTCAACGCCAGTTACTCCAAAACCAGCGACAATATTGCGTGTCAATCGAAATGGCACCACCTGGATGAAAAATTGCAGATATGGGTACATAATTAATATTTGTTAAGTTTTGAATAATTAGGAAAATCATAAGATACTAGATGAATAAACGATTATTTTAACTTAAAGATAGCTTGGTCATAAAATATAGATAATCTTACCTCTGGAACATTCAAATTTTCTCCTTTATTGAATAATAAGTTAAAGTCTACATGAATGGCATCACCGCTTCTGAGATCAATTAAAAGATTTTCTCCGTGGCGATCACCCAGCCCCAGTATAAAGCCCACTATGCTCATTACCGCTGATGTATAAGTAAAAGCTAGGCGTGCTGCATACCATTCACAAGAATCTGGGAATGAACGTCTAAACGAATAAGAAAAATTACTATGAACAACAGTGAGAAAAAAAAATAAAGGTTGAATGAAATATCATTTGTAAAGAACTGATAACGGCGACAGAAACAACATAAAGTTATAAAAAATTTAGAGAAAATAACTGCGATGTCAATATTCAAGAAAACAATACTGAATAAAAAAATAAATACTTGAACTGAAAAACAGATTACTTTTACCTGAACCATTCTGGCATTACAATTGGATGTCTTGGGTAGTATTCAGTTCGTAATCTTTCTAATTTTTCCTCATCAGTACCATTAGGCACCCATCTGCTAAACCACTCTTTCTCACTCATAACATTACTAGATTTTTCTCTAATTAACAGCTCAACAACACTACGAAACGTTTGAAGATTCGGAATCCACTCAATTAAACCACCAGCATCCTAAAAAAATTTCTGTGGAGAAAAAAATAATTATCTCTTTCACTGTAAATATCTAATGACTGAATTGATAGTTTATACCCCCACAAAGACATAGTTTTTATTGTAAATCCAAAAGTTTTAACTTGTAATTATTTATTTGCTTCCTTCTAATCCAAAATACATTCAGTCGCCAGTCCTCTTTTTGAGACTTCAGTAACATGAAAAAGTTGTGGTGGTATAAAACAACTTACTTGCAACGGAATCACATTGTATGTTCGAACTAAAAGCTGCCTGCGTCTAGCGTCAGCATTTTGATGCAGTAATGCATTTACCATCTGAAAGAGAGCTTTTATTTAGATTTGAAAGGATAAAGTAACTATGTATCTAGTGACCTAAATGCATTACATAATCTTTGCTACTTCAATTGGATGAAAACTCAAGATAATTTACAAATCTTTGGATCCTTTTCACAGTTTTTCGAGACAAGTCAATTCAAACTTTTTTTCTGATTAATTTACTTATAGCAACAATGACATATTTACGAAGTAATCATGTTAAGCCGAAAATTTATAAATGATAAGCTACGATCAATCCCGAATCTAGCGACGTTTCTATAAATCAATAAAGATGAGAACATAAGTATGAATATGCTCAGAGCAGATAACCAGAATTATGAATATGTAAATAAATGTAAATAAGATACCCTATTGAAATCCATGAGCCTGCCATCTTTGCGTAATTCATCTTTTGCTTTGCACATTAGAGAATACTTTTTGCCATCTGATCCCAATATAGTAATTTTTTTCGGCCGCACCAGTGATTTCATAACCTGGAAAAATAAAGCTTAATTTCTAAACAAGTTCTTCAATCATTTTCATTACAATAATGATTGTATTTCTGATGCTTTAAGGTTGATAACTTTTTTAAATACTGAACTTAAGCATAAGGCTTAATTAAAAACTTCAATTTTTATCTTTTTACTGCTTTTAGAAACACGACTTTCATGTGCTCTTAAAATGATCAGTATTTTAGGAGTAATATAAAGCACGATGAAAAATAAAAAACAACTTTATAAGTGGACGAAAATAAATAAGTTTATAGTTACACAAATTGATGTTTTAAAAGTTTTAACTTCAAATGATTTAAAGCTCATTAAGTTCACCGTAAACTGCTCTTCGACTGAATGAATGTAAATAGCATTCAACGAAATATTAGGCGGTAACATGTTTCGTTCTGAACTGCCACTAGGGAATTGTGACAAACTGTTCAAAACACCAGTTGGAAACGCTTGGTTAATCATTTCATGCAAGGGAACAACAATCAGTGGTGGAGTTGATTCATTCACTTTCAATTTTTCCGTAACTGAAAAAATTTTTCAGAATAAGATAAACCATTATCTAATGAGGTTTTCGAGTGAATTATAAATGAATTTAAAGTAATGTTCAAGGGACCGAATTTTTGTAGGAACAAGAAATGTTAAATATGAGAAAATTTTCAATTGCTATCGAGGATTTTTCTTTTTCGAATTTATTGATCTTAGAAAAAGGTCTAGAAAAAAAAAAAAGAAACAAACTCGAAATCGTTGAGCACATTTTACCAGTACGAAAATATTTGGAAAGGAAACCATAACGCTGACTGAACGGTGATTGCGTGCCCACTGGACAACTATCTTCAGCAACTCTGCAAATAGTACCTTGTTTTTGAAAGAGTTATTTTACTTTAACTTTGACACTTGAAGTGTTCTATCTGCAGTAAACTGATAATCCCTTCATTTCATTTAGAAATATTTATTAAATTCTTTAATAAATGATTTTTATATCACTAGAAAAAATCATAAGTAAAAGAGACTACGATGACAATACTAAACAAGTAAAGAAAAAAATGCCTCTTTCTCTGAACCTTTATACAGAATTAATTAGCCCGCATACAAAATAATATTTCATAAGTGCCATTTATATAAAAATATTCATGAATAGCAATTTGTTTTTAGGTACTGTAAAAATATTTTACTTTTCACTGATTATTCTTAAATAGACAAAAAAAAATTCACACCTTTAAAGCTCATTACCTAATGAAAGCCGCAGCGACATATTCATACTGAGGAATTAAATTTTTCAACAGCCCAGTCTCATCGCTGCGTTTGGCTAAATCATATACAGCACGACAACGTGTGAATCTCAAGGGCTGCTTGTCAGCATCACAACGGAAAACAGCTATGGATTGCCATAAGCACTGATGTGGATACTCCACCATCAACTTGGACAATATTATCTGAAAGTAAATGTGGACGAAACACGATATAATAAAATAACAAGTAAATTGGAAGTATTCGCACTAATTAAATAAAAAGAGAACAGAAACTGCTAATCAAACATTCAAAAAAGGATTTTTTAATTTTGCAGTAAAGCATAATGTTTGATCATCTTTACATGATATTGCACAAATAAATTATATTCGAATTCAAAAAGCAAAATTAAATTACTTTTAAAGTCTGAAAAACTTCATCATTTGGATGAGTGATGCGAGAAATTAACTGGGCAAATGCTGTATAGAACATGTAGTGATCAAGGAATTTAAAGCCGTCATATATTAATCCATTTATCTATAATAATTGAAGAAAAATTTTTGAAATTTAAAAAAATTGTTTTTCTTCGCAAAAAATTTTAGTTTTGTGATATTTTTTGAACTTTTTACTTTTCAGTAAGTCCCGTATTCTTCGACTTCTAAATAACCAGAGTCCAGTAATAAAACCTTTAGTCTTTTTATTACTTCATAAAACATTCTCGAGTTTGACAACAAGAATATATACTTCTCTAATATCTCTATTGTCGCTGTTTGCATTTTTTAATGACACTCTTCTTGCTAGTGGCTTTGACTGTGGAGGTGGCTGAGTATTTCCATTCTCAAAAGCCTAAAAAAGCTACTCAGATGAAGAATATTTAAACGAAATAACAAATACAATTCATATCAAATTTAGTAGTACCATTTTCTGAGTATAATCCAACCAAATGCTTAGCATTCTCGGCATGACATGAAATAAATAACTCTTTCCATACTTAAGCACACGTCTGTATGCTTTGAGAACCAATATAACTTTTCGAGCTTCAACATCCTTAAAACATGAACTTAGAAACCGCAACAAGTCTTTAATTCATTTGGCTTTCATTCAATTTTCACATAATTTATTATAATACAGAGGAATAGGGACGATAAAATTATACTTCAGAAGTTACCTCATTTTTACAATACAAATATTTATCCAAAAAGACGGCGATTCGATAAAATAAATCTTCAGATGGCTCTGTCATTAATGGCAGAGAGACATAGATGTTATAAAAATCTCCATAACTACTAGCTCCCGCTTGTAATGAATACTCAGCAAATAGTAATTGAGCCTAAAAAGAGACGAAAATGTAAATAATTAACTACGCAAAATTAAGTTCCAATAATAATTTAAAAGCAAATAAGATGCAACAGAAACATCAAGAATGATATTACTGAAGAGAGGATAAGTAGTTGCTGAGCCTAAATAAGATTACTTTGTGTTAAGGTTGTTAATAAAGATTAAAAACAGTGAAGTGGTACAAAAGAAATTTAGCATGAAAATTTCAGAAACCTTTATAAAGTCATCATTTCCTTTTTTAAATCCCACTGAAACCTGCTGATCATTACAAATGTCATTCTCGCCGCGACAAGAAAAAGCTTTAAGCTGCTGTACATAATCCGAAAAATGCCTTCTCAATAAATTTGAAAGTATCTGTATAGCCTGGACTTGGCTTCCCTGAAATAGAATTCTCTTGAAAATAAAATCCGCTTCAAAAATCAAACTTGATCCTTTAATACTTTGAATATATTTCAAACATAATAAACAGAAAAAAATCTAACTAAATAAATAATTCTCAATGACAAATTTTTTAGCGCAGAACCAATAGCAGTTGGATAGTAGAATTAATTGAAGTAGTATTGTTTTCTTCTACTGTCTGTTTTAACTGAACTAAAAAAATTGTAATTTCATGAACAAAACCTTTTGAAATAGATATCTAGCTTCCTCCATTTCAACTTCAAAATGATTAATATTTAAAGCTTTCGCTTGACTAAGAAACGACCAAGCAACTTGCAGATGACCATCATGTCTTGCTAAACGACAACTTTGCAAAAACAAGTTACAGATTGAGTTTCTCCCAATATCCCCTTCCAGTAAACTTAATAAGCTTCGACGAGCATTTAAAATAGGTTCCAATACATTTGCACATTGGATGGCTTTTGCAGTGCGCTTCTTAAAATTAAAATTTCATTTTTTTCCCACATAGAACTTCCAAAAAAATCATTTTAAAATTAATTATAAAATTAGAAGAATCTCGCCATTTTTTTTGCATAAAACTAGAACGCTTGCTATGTAAGTTTGTGATTGAGATACACATTCAGCACAATAAAAATTCAAATAAATAAAACTAATGTAACACATTTTTGGTAGCTTTTAATTTGAAAGTTGAATAAACAAAGTACTTCATGTGCTTACTTCCCAAAAATTAATAACTTCCACTAAATCCTCTGCGGAAAGAATTTCCCCAGTCTCCAATTTCAGCGAAGTCTTCGCATCTTCTATTTCAGCCAGAATATGCAGTCTGCAAGACATCGAATATAATGCAGATAAGATATAGTCATAACTAAGCAATAATTTTATAATCATTATGAGAAAAAAGAAATTATCTTAAAAAAGTAGTGTAGACGCAAAACTATAACTTCCGGAATGCAAGAAAACAAATGAAAAAAAAAATTCAACGAAGAGATACAAACAGAACGACTGAAAAGCAGCTTGAAAGCGATAAAATTAAAATTAACTTACTGCGTAATGTTTTCATAAGCTTGTGTGTATGTATTTGAATCTTCTATAGTCATTGCTGTCAGCGCGCTAGCTAAACGTGTTCGAGCGTCAGTTAAATAATTATTCATAAGATCGTAGTGATGATTTTTCAGGGAACAAATCACACTTGCATAAACAGCGCCACAAGTGGTCACTTCAGGTTTTTCATCCAGTAAAGACGATAAATCATCCCACTGCTGCAACCGCCACAATGCTTCAAGTTGACATGAATGTAATTCTGGAAAAAACATTCACTTCTAAATTAAAAAGAATCTTTTAATAAAAGTTTCCCACATTTGATATACCACATACCTTTACGAAAATCTGGATCTTCTGATTTTTTTAATAGTGCTGCAACACCATTGAGCGCCAAACACGGTTCATTGAGACGCAATAAACATTTTGTATATGATGGCTAAAAAAAGTTGTTTTTTAAGCAGGTTGAAATACAGAAAAATATCATCTCTAGTTCTTAAACGAACCTCAAGATTTAATGACTGCTTGTATAATGGTAATGCATCCCAGTAATTTCCATCGGCTTCTAAAAACAAAATTCGATCGTTTACTGTGGGCTCAGCCACTGAACGTATTGTTTCGAAAGCACCAATAACACCGTCTATGTCTCCAAGATCAAAATATATTTGCTGAAAAGAGATTTACACGATTAAAAAGTTATCCAAATTTCAATTAACGAAATTATTATCAAGCGTCTATTGAATCATTATTCTACGGTTTTTAGGACAATAAGATTTAAAGCATAAAATTTAAAGTTACAATATACTTACTTTTTACATATTTCAACATAGCATGAAACATCTTTCATGTAAACTTCAAACACATATTGACTTTCGAACGAAATTAAATAATATACACCGGCTTAATATCCTACTATGTCTAGAGGATCAGCTTGAAAATGACGAGAAAATTATTCCTAATGGGTTTTTTTGAAAGTTAATACATAGAAACAAGTCATGCACCTCAAGAAAACTGAATTGATCAGGTTTGAACAATGCTTTGCCATGTTCATCATAACCAATTGCATAGTGCTCAGACCTGAAAATTGATTGGTAAGAAATATTCAACACATTAATTCTGATAATGATCATCTGAAAACATAAAACAATATATGTTGGAGATAAGAATTGCAGAAAGGAAAAAGAAATATATATTGCAAACAGTAGTATCTGTTGAACCATTTCAAAGCTCTCGTCTTGCAGTGGCATATTTCAGCTGCAGCAACAATTAAACATTTTCCATTTGCAGTAGTTTGCTTTGTTATATTTGATAAAATTTCAAGTATCCGTTTAAGAATCTAAACAAATAGTGACAACTAATTATTAAGCAATTCTTATTTTGCAAAAGTTACTAATATTATTATTTTCTAAACTTCGATGGCCTTCATTTCATGGATTACTCGAGATGACAGAGTACTTTAAAAAAATTTTGTATTTTTAAACGAACACATATATAAAGAAGAGAAACACATTGCTAAATTTAAAATGTTAATTTTGAACTCTACAAAGTGGGAAATGAATAACGACGAAATTGTGCTTCAAGTAAAAAAAAAGAGTGAATAAATTTATTGAAAATGTATCACTAACCATATCATATGGTATTTTTAATGACTGACGATGATATGTGAAACGCTCCAGACAGTCAATAACAGCAAAAATTAGATGTGCGGCTGATCTAGGCCACCCATCATCGACCATCGTCTTTTGTAATATCGCAATTATTTCTTCTTCAGCCTACAGTGACACATCTTATGAATTGAAACAAAATATCTTTTAACACTTATTTGTAGCAAATTAGAATTACATTTAACGATATTCACGGAAAAAAAGTTTTGTATGATTTCCATGGCAAAGATACTGCTAAAATATTGACAATACTAAAAACCACCTCATTCATGCACGCCAAATTATGTTCAATAATACTTTGAAGAATAAGTTGTGGTAATATGAAACTTGCAAAAACTATATCTGCATTTACCAAACCCTCCAAAGCACTGAATAAAACCTTTAATTTTTGATCACGTATCTGAAACTCATCGATCATAATTAGTCACAGAATTAAGTAAACACTCACTGAATAAACTTTTCTAATAAAAACAAAACACAGTAAAAATCGTGGACGCTAAGACTTTGCATAGTCAAAAAAAATTTTATCTCAGTTAAAAAATAGGATCAAGCATGTTACTGAAACCATGCAAGTGTGAAAATACAAAATTACAAAAACAACTTACTCTAGAAGCAATTAATTTATACCACAGAATTAACCAACTTCTGAAGTCGACTGCTTCACCACAATTTATCACAGGTCTGAATTAATGCACATTTTGGTGACTGTTAAGAAGAGCGGTTTCAGCTTTTTGTAGGAAACATCATTTTAAAAGCATCTGAATAATTTTGAAAGGATTTCATTTTCAACATTTTATTTGCTATACATTTCCTAAAATCAGTGTACTTCAAATTTGATATCAAACCTCTTTGTAGGAAGTTCCTTTGCAGGCTTATGTAATATAAAATTCGATTTTCTGAGCATTGACAGTGAATCCTGACACTGGTCACTTAGTGAATCCCATAGATGAGAATTTGAACCATCTTTTCCAAGTAATTCTCGTAAAACAGTCTGAATGCTGTATGAACATTCCACTTGCATACTAGCATCTATTATTCCACAAAAGGCTACTGCAGCTCGTTCAAGAAGTTCAACGTAAAACTGGAAAAAAGAAGCATTTTACCACTAAGTTATTGTACCACTTTCACATTCGATTATTCCGTAACAGTTGTGTTTGATTACCTTTTCTTCAAAGTCAACAAATATAAGGTGAACATCAGATCGAAGACTGCTTACATCACGTGCAAATGACAAACCGATACGACCTGGATCAACAGCGCCCAAGCAACCAAGGGCCAATGAAGAGAGGTAACGACATTTTTCTGAGGAACTTTTCCGTATAGTTAGCAAGAGCGAAGGAACCTGGAATAAATTTCATAGAAATAAAGAAAATTTTTAGATATTATAAAACACGAAACTAGAAATTCATTTCAGACGAATAATCTAGAATTTTAATCATGATGGTCCGACGATATAATAATTTTTTTTTCATAATATGATTCGCCTGTGAAAAATTCGAAACAGAAAAAAGACAAATTAACACACCAAATCTGCAGCAAAGCTGTCGAAACAACTATCGTCCAATTTATTAGAGTTCATAAGGAGATTCAATAATTTATGAAGTATTACTTCGCCAACTTCTTCACAACATTCTTTCAATAACGAAGCACATGCCCGAAAAACCTTCAACAAAAAGAACTAATAAGATGTGCTTGACTGAATTGTTCTGAGCTAAGAAATTATCGAATTTGTAAATAAGATTTTGTTATGAATGTCATAACTGCATGTGATGAAAAAATTTTGCTTCAATGGAAAAGCTGCATCAAAGTTTTTACTCCAAAAAATGAATAATATCAAACAATAGGTAGCACATACACGTGTCAAATGTTGGACGAGCCTTGATAAGCCAGATGAATTGGTAATGTTATAAATATTTACATATGTAGTAATAAAGTAAAAGGTAACCTCTTCAGGAGGAGATCTTTCAAGTTCTTTTGGAAGGTATTCATTAATTGAAATTTTAGGATTGTCCCAAAAAACTAAAGCAATGCGTTTGAAATCTCCGCTGAAAATGGGAAAATATGCATATAATCGTACTTTGAATAATTCAATAAATCTGAAATAAAACTTACTTAATACTAAAATTTAATCGCCTTTCATCAAAAATATAATTTAGTAACTCTCGAGCTTCTTCGTAATGAAGAAGCGGAACGATTGAAACTAAAGTCTGCGGCAAGAGTTTGATCAAAACCTTCAATTACGAAAATTCGAATTAATTTCTAGTAAGAATCACAATATAATGGCTTAAGTGAAGGTAAATAGTTGATGCGTATTAAATGATGCTCCTTCTTCCAGATAGAAGCAATTAGAAAAATTATTACATGGAAAACGATTAATAGCTTACGCAAACAAGCTTTGCACTTAATCTGACGAATCAAAAAAAAAAGATACTCAGAAAAAGTTTTTACTCTTTTTTAAACTAGTAAATCTTTATTAGTTAGAGGAAGAGAGTCGAAATTTTTTTAAAGTTTCTTATAAATTTTTATACATTTTATTTATTGAAAAATAAATTCGAACGAATATACCTCATCTGATAGAGTTTCCAAAAAAACTTTCCACATTTTGATCACAACAATGCCCAACGATGTGAAAGCACGCAAAACAATGAGCATTTTATCAGCTGTCTGAAATTTGAAAGTCATTTTGCAGTAGAAAAAAATACATACCTTACATTTTGTTTATTTTAATTAAGTTTCAACTCAAAATAATTGAAATTGCTGATTAAAATTAATCAGCTTAAGCCCAAAGAACTTATTGTTCCATTACTTTCTTTGTAAAAAATTTTAAAACCGACTTTATCTAAAAAATCGGTACCATCTGCTTTGATCATTGCCATAACTTTACATAAACTGGAAACCAGTACCAAACGTTCATCAAAAAAGCGATCATCATTAGCGGCCTGTCGAAAATGTAGTAAAATTCCTAAGTAGCTGTAAAAAATAAATATAATGCTTACGAGAAAACAGCTAACTGCAAGAACTTGAAAAATTGATAAAGCCAAACATGAAATGCGCTAAAAAGTTTGGCGCATTGAAAAAAAGTTCTATTTTTAATGATTTGTTCCCCGTGATAAACTGAAAGAAAATTAAACCTCTCCCGTATGAAGAATGTGAAATTAAATGTAGAGTTACGACCGTAGATTAATTTATGCAAGTTTTTTATATGCATCATTGCTTTTTCTTCATGGATGCATAAATGCTGTAGCAAGCTAACAGTGCATTCATAAGCTTTCTTCGAAACCAGTGTTGACTATAATGAAATTGAATTTCTGACTCAAAAACAGACTGCGTTATTACATCATATATATGTTATATAGACTTATTGTACTGTAACAATCTTTCAAATTATGTTGAGTAAAACGTTGGATCTTTGTCAAATGGATCTAGTTTGTCAATCACTATCGAAAAAAAAAAGATCTCTATGTCTAAAGTTTCATTAACAGTATGATGAACTTTTCACTTAAAACAAAAAAATCAATCCTATAGTTTTTTAGAAAAAACGAAATTTATCCAGAACATACCCAATTACATCCTCCTTTTGTATAAAAGCTAATAAAATTCAAGGCATTTTGCATAATTTCAGTTGATAAATCTTTCACAAGATGCTTAACTAGCAAGAAAGGTAAACATTCTTCCATCAAAAGTTCACGATCCATTCTTCGAATTCGCACAATGTTATTCAACACCGCTTGAATTTTTTGCTTTTCTGTGATACAATCCAACAAAAGTGAAGTCACAATTTCAGGACAGGCATCATGCATAAAACTATAAAAAATTAGCATGCGATTTTCATTTGAATGTCAATATATATTTAAAAGTCTCCCACAGATAAACATCTCGGCCAAATGATTGATAGAAAAAATAGTTTAAACGCATAGTTTTATGAAAATAAATAACATGATAGACCACTAAATCCAACTACTCTAAATAAGAACTCAGAACAGCTTGCCTCTCGAAGTCATTTTCCGAAAAACCGAATATTTCAATAACAACATTCAATGCGTACTCTACAGTGCTATCAAATCTTTCATGAACAAATTGAGACAAACTATCTGGAAATTGAAATTTCCATCAACATAAATAAGAGATGTTGATTGAAAAGTTACGCTTGTTTAGAAAAATATATAAATACATTACTTTAAGTATGTGAAATATTATCATTACAAAACCAGCCGCATGTTTTAATATTAATTATAGATAGCATATAAAACAAGATTTCTATTGTTTACAGTGTTTCGATCCCAGAAGCAATACAGATGCCTTAATCCACAATAACCAATTCTCACAAAAGATCTAAATCACCGAAAATTTTAACAAAAATGCAATGTTGTTTATCAGAATCTACTTTACTTATGACAAACAATTTGCAGAGATCAACAATACATAATCTCACCTTCTTTTGAAGTTTTGAGTTCCACATGATGTTCAAAAATTATTCTCCTCGTAAGATTTTCCAAAATATATGTCTTTTTCCGAAGAAACCACTGTGTTGGATGTAAATTGGGAATATAATGCTCTATACGATCCTAAAATCTAGATATTATTTCTGTGCACCTAAGAAATTTCTTCAATATTTCAAAAATTCATGCCTAAAAAACAAAATGGAATGAAAAGAAAGATGATCTATAAATAAAAGCAAACATTACCTCCACAGCTTTTTTGATTTCTGGAATAATAAAAGCATATTTGCGAACAATCGCCACATTTAGAAGATGATTTAAGCACATGAGGAAAAGATTTTCATTCTGAGAATTACTGGAAGATACATATAGAGCAAGGATGAAAATTAATGTAGGAAACACATCAAATTGACAGGAACCCAAGATAAACATTAAACTACTTGGGTCGTAAATCAAATTTCAAATTTTTTTATATTTCTGAAATAGGTTGGAAAACAATATATAGTCAGGAACAATGAGTTTAAAATAAACAAATTAAAAATGAAATTAATTTGAAATTCCTTTTTCTTTATATGCTTAATAAGTTATTTCAAAAAAAGTAGATGCAATATTCACTTCAAATGCACTTACACTAAACAAAAAATCGAATATAATTTGAAATTATCAAATGCTTTTGGTGATTTTTGCAGATCGTTGATAGTTAGTAACATTTTATCTTGCAAATCACTGAAGTTCAGTTCCAACATTGGTTTCAAGCACCACCTAAATTGCACTGAACTATTAAAAATAAATAAATAACTGAATATAAAAGCATGTTAGATATAACAATTGTAACAAAAATTTTAAACAATCTGTTACTTGGTAAGTAAATAATAATTTATTTTAAAAAAAAGATGGCCATCCCATTTAAAATGAAAAGCAATTGAGGTCTTAATTCTAAATAGAACTTTCCTCATAAGTTCTTTTCTATGGAATAAAAATGCCAACACTAAATTTTAAAACAGCTTCACTGGATGCAGAGTTTAAATCAAATCTACAATGAGAGTTTCTCTAGCCATCTATCAAACTTTTCACAACTAATGAAAGAGACTACTGAATGCTAAAATTCATGAAAATGACTAATCAGTTGAATTTCCTTCTTACTTACTCATTTTGCAGGCACAAAGTAGCTAATCTATCTAAATATAGTTAGAGTATATTATTAATAATGTCTTTCACCGTCATTTTCAAAACTTGAAATATTTGACAGATAAAAACATACTGAAACTCCGATCGCAAATCATCATCCGTTTCTTTCATCAAAATTAATGTACAAAACATATCTGTTTCGTATTTCTGCAGAACTGGAAAAGCAATATGATTAAGTAAAGAAGCCATCATTTCACAAGTGCCCAATTTCGTAGCCAAATCACTGTATACAGCTTTCTTTATGAATTCAAAAATTTTATCCAAGTTGAGACTCAAATTTCGATTTGCTGCTTTTTTCTGGCGACACATCATGCAAATCTCATCTTCTGCTAGTCGTTTCCCCGTACTCATGAAACACATTGTTTTCGTCACTGCCTTAAACAATAAAAATTTAGCTCAATAACATTGACATAAATCCAGAGACATGTTTTGTGAAAATTTTCGAATTTTTGTCGCAACATCAGAAATTTCATTGAAAAGTTATTACAAAATCACTGAAACATTACATCCATCAAGATAATATGCACTTCTCCACAGAAAAAGGTAAAAAATAGAAATAAATCATTGTAAACAATTCTGTTTTCCATTTGACTGTTTTTACCTTTAAAACAGCGTTGCAGACTTCTGCTCTATTCTTATCCTGAACAGCGCGTAATCCATGGTAAAGCACATGATTTAGAAGGAATTCGAATGTATCTCTTTCTGCAACAATGAAAATCACTTAGCTGGTTACGAGAATGAAAGATTTTTCTAGCTAAATTAGGACTGAAGTTCAAGTTTAAGTTGAGTACACTCTAACAATGGACTTTCACACAGTAATGCTTGATTACAATTATATCATTGATGCTTGCGATAATATAACTTTAGTAACGTAAATTTCCCAAAACTGTCATTTGATGGTAACTTATTTCTACTAAAAAGTTCAATGCAATCACCTGAAATCAAAAATAAGCTAGAAAACAAAATATACAGTTTTCCTAAAAAGTGAAGAACATGCCAGCTCTTTGATGAGCAGAATAATGTTTCTGTACTTTTGAATCCAGATAACGAATGGAACAACACACACCTATCGAAAAAGCGAAGTAAGGGAATTCTTCAATGGCCGTCCGAAGCAGTAAAATTTCTCCTGAGGTTAAAGCTGTAATGTATACTTTGCGACGCCATTCCGGACAAACACTAAAGTGTCCTAAAGCTGCAATCGTAATTGCCTTGACTTCTAGCGCTGAAAACTTAATACAAATATTATATTGTCACTCATTAAATAAATCTTTAGACAAGTTTTGAAAACAGCTAAAATTGGTTCATTGGGTTGACGAAAATTCGATTTAAATGCAAATATTCTACATCGACTCAAAATAAATCATCTATTTATATAACAGAGTCATTTCGAAAAACTCACAAAAATATTCAATGAAAGAGAAAGATAATTTGTACATATGTAATATTGCTGGAAAAGCCACGTTTGAGTGTTCAAAGTCTGTAATGAGTTCCTAAAAAGAGAGATTTTTATAGCATCATCGAAACGATACAAAACTTGTATAGTTCTCTACAATACGACAGAATAATAAAAATATTTAGGGAAAACAATTTACAGCTGTTTGAAGCCACGGCAAAGAAAGAACCGAGAGCCAGAAATCTTCTTCCGTTTCTACAAACTCAGCAAAGGCCGACACCAGTGAAATTAATGCGACCAAAATTTCTTCTCTAGCTTCAGTTATTTTTGGAACACTCTCAAGAATCTAAAATAAATTATTAAGAAATGACTAAAATTCACAAAAAAAGAGACGTTCACCAAAGCATCAAATTTGTAGTAGTCATGCAAGAGAATGATACAAAAAAACTTTGGCAAAAAAGGATCAATTCGTATTAAACTGCACGAAAAAATACTGAATGACAAAAAAAATCGTGCGGCAATTGATAAAAACAACTTGCTTTCATTATTTCTGCGGATTCAGGAATTATTCTAGAAATAAATGCAATGGAATCTTCTTTGGTGAACGTTTCTTTTAGAGCCACTATCGTTGTTTCTCTGCTTTTTAAATACTTCATAATCTGAAATTTGTAATAAAGTTGAAATTATCTTTAGTAAATGCAAGATTTTATTGAAGTATATTTGCTAACCTCATTTGCAATAAAACAATTCCTTGGCATCACCAGTTGTTTACTGAGCTCTTGATAAAGAGATCTACAAATAATTCCGATTTCTAGAACCAAAACAGTGATCAAGTACATAGAATGATACAGTAAACAAGTACATACAATTCTTCATTTTAAAAAAAAAGATAGGCATTCTACTTGGATGAATTTTGAAATGAAAAGCTTATGAGATCCAAAAACAATTCTAAATACAGTACCTTTATAAGTTCTTTTTTATGAGTCAAAAATGTCAGCAATAAATTTTGAACAGCTTCATTGAATGCATTAAGTTTAAATCAAATCAAACGATAGTTGTAAATTTGATATAAACGATAAGGACCAGACTGTTAATGTTAAGATGCGATGATATTACAATAAAACTTACGAAGAGTTAATATCGTTATTTTCGAATACCACAAATATGAAAGCAAATAATTCACCAACATTTCGAGCTTTAATTTGCAATTGACATTCAAATATTTTTCTAACAATTATGTAGAATTTATCAGATAAGGCAAACCACTGTTGTTGGATTCCTCTTTCAAGGCGTAGAATAACAGAACATATATCGATTAATAAGTTAACCAAACGCTCCTCTGCAACGTTTTATTTCTGATAACAAAAACTGAATATTGAAAAATTTTAATTGAGATCTCCAGACGTAAAAGAAGGTAATTAAGACTTATAACAAAGGAAACTTGATTAGCACATATATATGTATAAAATAAAATATAAAATGTGGTAGTTTTCGTTTCAGCAGCCCATATACCCATAAGCATAATATATTCAGGAAATTTCATTGCATTTAACTTGCCATTTAATGTCTACATATAGGAATATAAATATTTTTGCACTATGCTGTCAAAAATACCATTTATATAATAGAAAACTGCAGCTACACGTATTCTCCTAACACAAAAAATTTTCATTACTTTGAACAGTCTAAAAGCACAAGATAGCAAAATGCCCTAAAACTATTCTATCAACTACCTCAAGCTGACTATATAGTATACACATTGTTAAAAAGTCCAATTAATTCGTCCAACTTACAATTTAGTTCCAATAACGATGCTTAAATTTGCAGTTCATCAACAAATATAAATTTGAAATATAATAGTTATAATGTCTTTGTAGAACATGAGAAATGTTTTACAAAAACATTACAAACACAATAGTTCTAAATTTGCGCAGAAAAACAAGTTTAATTAATTCTAAAAGATGAAATGATATTTCGCCTTAATAATTTTGATACACATACCTGGATTGACACGAGAACACAAAATTTCAGCAACTTGTTCTGTCCATAATTGACACTGATGAAAATCAACTTTACTGAAAGTTTTACACTGATCGATACTGAAAAATACTATTTTTCAAAGTTTTTGTTTCATTTATAGATGCTTCTATTATATTTAAAAGTCTCAATACTAAGTAATTGAAACTCAAATGAAAATTCCTGAAACAGACATTTAAAAGCAGCAACCTGATCAAACTTTTAAAAAAATAATGTTCTATCACTACTTGGTATTTCAATTTATTATTTCCACATTCTCAATGACTATAAAATATGAATAAAAATACAGGTACCAAAGACTTTTTCCAACAGTACTCAAATATTTTTCTGAGTATAGAAACTGTAAGCATTTATGAATTTTTTGATTTTAACATTCGAACTTACTTTCTAAAAGCATCTCCGAAAGTACGTTCACAACTTTCTAAAGCTTCTTTAAGGCGTAATTCATCATCACCAACTAGTTCTGGCGTTAAGTCATATAACCATCGCTCAACTGCCATCAAATCATCAAATAATAAATCTGCAAACAATGCATTGCAGGCATCCATCGAGAGCAATCTTTGCGTTATAAGCACTGCTTTCTGTAAACAAGAAATAACAAAAATTGCTTTCAAATCCACTAATACAATAAAGTTTCTGCAAGAACTAAAAATGATGGAATAATTATACTACCACTCAACTATATAGTAAATGTAATTTAAAACAACTTGAATAAGTTTACTAATGATTATGTATAACAACAAAAGTATATGAAATAACTGATATAGTGATGTTAAATATACGAATTAAAAATAATGCTTAGATGTTTTTCAAAGCTCCTTTTATTTCTAACTCAATATAATTCCAAAACTTAACAAAAATAAAGAGAACACCTACATTATTCAGAAAATACCCTCAGACTACGTCTTTACATAATTCTATGGTAAGATTTCGACCTCCTACTCCTAAGGAATTAAATTTAGTAGCGAATATGGAATTGAAAGATACATTTTTTACTTGTGAAGTACTCCAGAGAATAAGATGCAATAAACAAAACCAAAGGTAAATTAAGACTTTTTCATCATGTATTATCGATTCGTTTAGAGTTCCATATTGTAAAACTGACCTGAAAATTTTTTATTATTCACCATCTTTATGTATAAATGATTTAAAACTTTCATAACAAGAAGTGCCAACAAAGAACAGCAATTGATAAAAAACTTCATTATGTGCAATTTCCATCACGATATTTTCTGAGACAGAGAAAAACCTAACAATAACACATTCTGAATAATTGAGTCACTGCTTGCAAGTCGATTAATCATAAACGTCACTGGTTTCAAAATGATTTCCCCCATTGGGGTAGTAAATGTTACTTTTCGACTTTCGTTGCTAATTTGAAACGTCAAAAGAATTTTTTTATCCACTACATCTAAAATTGCACACATATCATGATAAGTATCACTAATCAAATCACACAAATACAAATATGTAAAAGGCTGGAATATGTTTATGAATTGAGATTGAAATTAAATATTACGTGCTATAATCTCTATACGTGCTAAACACAGTATTAGTGCTATTTAAAATTAAAAAAATAATATAAAAACAAAATCAGAATACAGATATGAACACAACAAAGTTTATGCATGTTTTTTGCTAACTTTAAAAGTCTAGAAAATGTATTAGATATCCACTAAAAAACTTGATCATCCTAGTGAAATTAGAGCAATAAATATTTCGAAAAGTTTAAACAAAAATTAAACATTCACCTTTTAACATAAATACAACTTGTCTTTGCACTTGTAGTGAAACAGAGGGCTCCAATAGTTTTATAAGTTCGATAACACAGTCTTGATAGAGACCACCAAATTTGTTGTAAACAACAGGTGATGAAAGAACGGAAATAAATTTTCCTATTGTCCATATTACTTGCTCTTAAAATTCAATTAGACTCAACTTTGTTCACTATGCAGTTCGAAAAACCAAGAATATAATTGAAATAAATAATCCCTCTGAAAGACTGAATATCAGAATAAACATATCAAAATCAGCAACAGAAGTGACAAACCGTTTGATATCACATTTTGAACTTGTGAGTTCCGATCAGCTGAGCAGTAAATTTCTAATAAACTGGGGAAATGTCTTAAATGTTCGACATTGTCTCCATTTAGAATACTTTTACATAATTTTTCACTAAACTCTTCCTCCACTACCTTATAAAGCATGTACACATCGTTCAACGAGCTGAAACTAATAATAATTAGGATAAATTATCAAAGTTAAATCATCTCTTTAAAACTTTTAATTAAAGCGAAAGTTGAAGGAGATAATTACTTTGCTGTCCCACTTCCGATATCTTATCAAGTATATCATGAAAATAACTCACAATTGTTCACAGGCACTTCCTTTGTCGGAAAATGGTCTGATCTGTTCCAAATTTTCCAATAATAAATCGATGTATTCAAATCCTTCCTTTTCCGGAGACTTCTGATTATCTAATTCCATTAAGTCCATTTCATACCTTTCTCTCTCCTGAACAAATTTTGTTAAGTACACGTCAGGACTAATTATAACTTCGCTGATAATATGATAATCACCTTATCAGTACACTGCACAAATAGCGTAGCAATTTACTAAACCAAAACTAGGCCAAACTTTAGAACTTTATTATTTTACTCCTTCAAAGAATTTTCGTTTTATGCCTTTTTTACAAGTCGCACAATAGCATTGCCCTGACATTTCACACCTTCCTCTTGCACTCACTGCTTGTTCCTCGCACAAATTCCTAATAAATAGAACAGTCTTGTTCTGGAAATATAAAAAATTATATCAATCTCCACTTTTCACCAAATATTCACTCATGCCAATAAAACTTCAAATTTAATTCAAAGGAAATTGTGTGAATAATTTTATCGCAACTTGAATATGGAATCCAGCACGTCCTATTCTGTAATTACTTGAAATAAAATACCGGAAGGATTGGCATAAAATCACTTGTCGAAAACACGAATTTTTATTCGCAGTCACGACACACACTGATATTTTTTCATTGCACGTAATTCTTTCGTAAAATGTTAGCACCGCAAAATTCAGCGAAAGCGATTTGAATCTTCGCGAAATCTCTCAATCTCTCTCAAATACTAAAGGTTGGAGAAACAGAGACACTTTGTTGTCAATTTGAATTTGCTATGCAAGATCTGTAATTACGCCAGGTACTTGACTCGAATTACTACATACGTCTAGGAAAATTAGATCACATATAAAAACTTTGGATAATGCTTTGAATTGCTTAGCGAAGTAGAAATTATTGAATTCTGTGTAAAGTTACATGAATTCCTAGCAACTCGAAATTGGATCGAAATGCTTTGTGGCAAAGTGCTTGACCTATATTTTTACACACGACCTTTATCACTTAAGACACTTGACCTGAATTACTCCTCACGTTTGCGGGGTACTGCATATTCTACTAGCATTATTTCATCTGCTGAACATTAGTGTTTGGTGGTGGATTGGAGGAAGGTGCCGATTTAATCATTGATGATATTAGTTTAGATAAATGAGACATATATTTTTTACTAACTCATTTTTATGATAAAAAAGTAGCTCAAAATAGTCAGCAATAAAATTTAATCAGTGATAAGCACTCAATTTTTGAACTATCTGAAAGATTACTGTAGAAGAAAAGCTATCGTTTATTAAATTCTACATTTTTGCATCATATCCATATCATCCATAAACTTTTTATTCTTGCATTTTCTAACAGATTAATTTGCGTTTTAGTTAAATTACGAGATGCTTAGAGGTGTTGTAACAATTTTGTTAACTACAGTTGTATGCAAATTATCAACAGCCCAATTTATGTCACCATTTGGAATGTTCGGTAACTTCGGAACACCTCATTACATGAATCGTTAGTTTTCTTGAAGGTTAAAATTTTTACGAATCTCCAGCATTAGAAAACTTTGCCGGTTTCATTTATGTACCAAATAGATGTGCACAATTTGCATCACACTTGTTGTACATATTTAGGGATTGATTATGCAGTAATAAGAACAATATTAGTCACAACAAGTATACATTAGTGTCGTATATTATTGTAATGACCAAAAAATTTACCAACTCCCAATTAGTGGTCGAAAGTGACCACAATTACCTTTTACACTCACGCTGTTTACTTATCAGAAACGAGTAACTATTCTGTTTTGCTATGTCTAATTTTTTTTCTACTGTTCCCCAACAAAATTACATGTCTTATGTTTAGTATAAAAAATAAATTGTCATGAATGGCAATACTAGATGCAAAAGAAGACCTAATCAAATCGATACTCAGATTGAACTTATTTTGTAGCATTTATGGGCGCAGTTAACAGTCTTGGAATAAATATGGGTTATGATCCTGTATCGATGTCTGGTATGGGCATGAATATGTTCAATAACCCATATCTAATGAATCCTTATACATCCTTTGCTTTCACTAATAATGGGAATACTTTTGCGGCTGGCTTAGGTGCGCCGAAATTTGGATCACCACAAGCATTCTTAAGAAAAAGATTTATTCCAGGTTTTATACTTTTTTATAACTCACTAATTTGTCAAATATGTTTTTCCTCTATTGAAGAACTAGCAATGACTCACTGCTACCAGCAAATAATCAATTGCGGATACAAGCCTATGTCATCAGTTCACTTCCGGTGTCGATCTTTACAGGAATGGGTTGCATAAATCGATCTGGTTGTGGTATTGGTTTTCAAAAGACGGAATAGAATCTTGGTCATTCTAAAAGTTTGATTTATGGATACGGTACTTTTCTTCTCTGATTTCACTAATTTTTTATGCTTTCACAGAAAGACGTTGTATAACAAACATATCTTTACTGTACTATTCATGTGCTAATATTAGAATAATGTACTAATTTTCACGGAGTTACGAGAGGATTAACTCCCACGAAGTAACCCTTCCACTTGTTGACCATCCATAAATTCTATTTTTGAATTCTAGAAACATTATTCTTCATAATCTATGAATTAGGACAATACAACTTTGCTTCTCATGACCATTTAAAGATTTTGGATATAGAAAAATCATTAGTATTCTTTCTTTTGTGCGGAAAATTAGAAATATTAGCTTGAGTACACAAATGCTTGAATGTGATTGTTAATTTCATCTTTTCATGTTCCGTATAATCACAAGAATGTTATTATCATTAACATTTTTAAAGTACGAGAAAAATGAATTAAAAACTTGTAACTGCATTAATAAGACCTTTTTTTTAATGCTCCGAAATTCATATGCACACAATTAACATGAGACGCTCCGAATTTAAATTATTTATTGGTTTTTTGTGATTTATAATAATATTTGTCATTGAATTTACATCGCCAGAAACATCAATCGTAAAAAACTAGCAGTTTTATCATTCACCATACACATAATTCAGTGAACAAGTATCAAGTCTAGTTAACGACAACAAAATTTCTGACTCTGTTTCACCCAATATAATCAAACATTAGTAGTCTGATCATTAAGCCTACTTGAGAAGCTAAAGATTTAGTAATTACAAAATGATTCTGAGATATTTAACACTCACTTAAAATTAGAAATAAAGGCAAAGTTTTGTTACGCTTGAAAATAAGATTTGGTGAAATATTATGCGGATTTAATAATTAAAAAAATTATTCCTTTCTAATTAGGACTGCATCACTACTTACGATTTTCAATTTTTTGAATCCAATAAAGTCTGGATAGAGGTCAGTCTTGTAAAATTTCATACACATGTATTTTCTGAATGTTTTCATATTGTCTCATATTGAAATAACAATCAAAAATACTGAAAAGACAGGATTGGAAATCTAAAGCTCTATAAACCTTGAAACTTGTACACTGCCAGCATCAGCTGAAACTTATAATGAATCATTTTTCTTGGTTATTCTCAAGTATATTACTTTTGCTTGGTAATTTCTTCCCATATTTCACCAACTGCTGAATAAAACCAGGATTCGGACAAACTACAAACAAATTTAATATAATCTCACAAATATGATGACAAAAGACTAAATTCATTCGAATTTAATTGAGTGAGACACTTCTCTCCACAATGTTATCCTTTTTTCTCATGATCTGCTTTCCCACGATTTTCATTATGCGTTTATTCATTTAAATAAACACTGATTAATACTTTTTAATGTTGCCAGAAAACATGCAGTTGTTGAAATTTATTTTCGTGAATATGAATAAAACAGGATTAAATAAAATGCTAGTTGGAATTGCTTTTAAGTTGCTTAAAAAATATTTATGACACTATTAGTGAATGCAAAACCTTGAATCTTTTTATATTTCCAGAACCAAATTTTCAAAAAACATGACTAACAAAATAACTTACCTTTTCTGGTTTTATTTACATGAACTAGAGCTTCACTCAATGAGAGTTTGTTATAACGCATGAGATATGAAAGTACGATAGTAGCTGATCGCGAGATACCAGCGTTGCAATGTACAAGGACCTGAAAAATCTTATTTCTTACTGCAATCACTAAAAAACATCTGTCCTGTAAAAATAAAAATAAAAGATTCATTTGTTGAAAATTTTAGTGCAATTCAAAAAACAATTTATTCATGTTTGAGTTTCACTATGAAAGCATCTCTGCCATAAGAAACAAAATTAAGTAAAAAATATTGAACTAAATATTTCTACAACAAAAAACTTACATTCCCACCATTTTCTATAGCTTTTCTCATAAACTTATGACATTCTTCAAAATGCTGCTCCAAATTAGTCCACGGTACATCCAATACATCAAAAGTAAGGTATTCAATAGTATCCAAGAAAATATTATTCACACCAGTCGCACAGTTAATTATGTGACTGATTTTATGCTGCATTAGAACATCATAATCGTGAGCTACATCCTGACTTCCTGATATAAAATCGCACATTACAGTCATATCTACCAAAATTATAAACATTTAACACTGACTTAATCGCATCACATAACTAACTTACCAAGATAAACCCCTTCTGCGACATTTGCCATTTGTAAATCTGGTTTCAGATCCACTATATATCCACATCTTTTACGATAATGTAATTTTTTTCGCAAACGATGCGACATTTTACGCGAGTCCTTCGAACATGTCTGTTGAGAACTACCTAAACTTTTTTCATGAATTCAATTGTAATTTTTTTATTCCTTCTCTATCAGCTTTATCATTACTTTCATTTTCTTGTGCATCCTTATTAGAACAAATAAATTCCCCTTTTATAGTGCGTTTCTCTGTTATTACTGTGCCATCTTCTTTTGTCACTCTGAAATTATGCAAGACTTGTAATAAAGATTTGAAAATCTGCAAAGCTTGCCATATGCTTTTCAGGAAAGATTCCATTAACAAGCTAAAAACCATCAAGAGTGGTAAAGGAACGAAAATAATTTCTCCTTATTAAGAGTTAAAACCCGAATTTGCTGATCAAAAAAAACAACAAAATCTATTAAAAACTGCAGCAAAAACTGATCACGACTATGAAAAGTACCTCTGCATCTCATCGGATTCAATGAAAATTGACCTAATTCTCGCTATATTTTTTTCTTAAACGGTCTGTTGGCAACTTATGATTAAATTATGAGCTTGTTTCAAACACTGCGCATAATTTACGCAACAAGATGTAAAAAATTTTTCAACAGGAATATTTCTACCATTTAAAGCAATGAAAACTTACGAAGTTTCGACAGGTTTCAAATTTTTCCGAGCTTTACGTATCTTCTCCAATATTGACATCTTGTGAAAGTTACCCCTTGTTAGCAATTAGTCAACTATGAATAAAACAATCATGCATTATATGAACAGTGATTGCCATAATTTTTTCGACTAGCTAACAATCACAAACTGATATATTAGTAGAGAAATACACTCACGACTTTTTTGCATCAGATAACAAGTGACTAGTAATAGAACTAGTAAAACAAGCATGGGATTGTATCGAAGCCAACATAATTACCTTACAAATTACTTCCAACTAAATGCAATTACAATGTATAGCCTAGCACTCAAACTGCATAAAAATCTCAGCCTAAGGTCACGGCTCCTTTAACCAACAATCTGTCCCAGTCTGAGATTACGCCTTTATTAACCACCAATATTCCATCCATTCGAGATCACGTAATGGCATACTACTTAAATAAGAACATTACATTTATTTACGGACCGCATTTAATGCAAACACTGAAAGGTTGATCGTTCTGCAAAAGTGCAAGAGTGGAATATTGTAAGAAATAAAAGATAGAAAAGATCTGCTTGCTGGAAACCTTTTCAGCACACATACTCTTGTCTTCCTTTACAGTAGAATGTATTCGTCGTTGAGTTTGGCTTTACTCCTATGCAGCACAATGTAAATTTGATCTATTCTCGGGACAGATAGATTTTGTGTAGGTAAAATACGCACCGAAGTTGACGAGGTCATATGTACAGATATATTTTGACATGACTTATAAATCAGTTCTCATTTTTTAGTTACGTAATAGTTTTATTTCAAGCAGTTACTTTGTAGATTTAATTGGTTGCTGAGTGAGAGTTTAGTCTCAATTTCCAAAATTGTTAGATTCACTTTTATCGTTTCGTATGCAATTTTCTGTTAAAAGTTCTCACTCTGATTGTATTGCTAGAGAATTTCTTTTAAATTTGTGTACGAATTTGATTTAGATTCAATCGAAATTCGCATGGAACACATTAGAACGACGACAAATTTTGTGTTCAAAAACGTGGAGGAGTTATATTACGTCACTTGACTAATTGCAGTTCCATAAAGCACCTAATTTAGTAAAGTTACGCTGAACAAATGCCTTTTGAACATAGTCGCAATTTCGGCAGTTAAATCCTTCAACGCAATATATCACTTACCATTTAATAATGCTTTTTTGCGTTTTCCATATTCAATTTTCTTTCACAGAAATTTGCATATTTCATTTTCAAAAAATTCGCTGCTTTGATTGTAACACTGCAATAAATATTAATGTGTAGTATGTAAAATACGCAACAGAAATTGATAACATTAGATGTAAAGGTATATTTGCATATTTCTTGAATTAAATCACAAAAAATAATTTGTATATACCGTACGAAATTTCACAATTATAGGGGCATAAAATACCATCGCTAAATACTCGCACTTTTTATCACTTCACTGATTGAGTTCATGTAAATATGAAAAGAAGCTTGTCATCTAACGTTACTATGAGCGCGCGGCTCCACAGATGCTTCATATATATCTAGAAGTATCTGTCTTCTGGTGCTAAAGATTCAGAAATTTAAAAAAAAAGAATTTTTTCTCATTTAAGTAAACAAGAAATATTTTTCAAGTATTGCGATTGCAGTATGTAAATGTAAGAAAAATACGAAGGGAGAGAACATTCACACTTTAAAGCCGTGCTTTGTATATACCGCGCAGTTTGAATTCCGGATTTCAGCTCTTTAAACTTAAAATTTTATCTTCTCCTTTCCTTGAATGTCATAGTTTGGCGATGTGTACTGCTATGCTTTGAGATCGTAATTATTATTAAATTCTCAGTAGAAGATATGCTGCAAACGTGAATTTCAGTGTGCATTAATTAATTCTAACTTTAAAGAAACAAGAAATCGTATTAAAATTTTTTCAACTTTTAAATGCAAAAAAAAAAAAGGAATTTTCAAACAAGATTAAAGTTCTTCTTGAAAATACAAATAGTTTGACTGAAATGTAGGAGTATTTTTAGACGAGGAAAATTGACAGCAATGAGCAACGAATGTTTTTGCAGTGAATTCAGAAAAGGAATCAGAGAAATTCAGTAGCAAAACAAGTTAGTGACGAGAGAAACAAGGAGAGAAATCCCAAAAAACAACGAATGCTGCGTACCTTGTTTTCAGTTCGAGAAGCTCTACTCAGCTGAGCATTTGCAACGAGTTGCAGTGTACCCTCCATTCAGACAAGTATAATTCTTGCAAATTCGTTTGCTTCTGCAATTTGCTCTCACTTTTCACACACATCCCTTACTGTTCAGTTCAGCTTGACAAGTACTTTCTTTAATTGCCCAAAATTCACAGCAAACTTCAACGTTTCTTTTCTTTTCTTGAAATTTTAGTTCAATAATTTTTGTTGCATTCAACTCAGTAGTGAATAATTTGATAAAAAGGTACAGTTCATTTAATGCACACAAATGTTTATGTTTTCTACTTGAATTTATAGTATCGGAAAGCATTCATTTGCAAACTCCATCAAGACTTCTTCTTCTCAGAACCTTTGCCACTTTTGTCTCTTTCTTCTCTAAATGCTGTCATCGACTGAATCCATCAAATTTAGTAGTACACATACACGTCATTTACAATCATTTCATTCCCAAGTAATCTTTGAACTTGACAAAATCTTAGCTTTATGATGTTAGGTGTATGAGGAAGGCTGCACGGTGTGATTTGTGTTATTCAGAAAATCATCCAACTTGTACTAAAACTGTTATTGATAAGGTGTACCGAACTTGTAATCAAGTTTGTTTTATCGATCGGTGACATCAAAGCTTAGCTGAAATTGCTAATAGAAATAATTCTGAATTACTTCTAAGCAAATGGTGATTGAAATTTGATAGCGTGAACGATAATTAATGACTTCGACTC